TGCCATTTCCGCCTCCAGGGGATCTTCCCGACCCAGGGGTTGAACCTGCATCTTCTGCATCGTAGGCAGATTCTTTACTGCTGAGCCACCAGGAAACCTGTATCAATCCCAGTCTCACGATTTCTCCCGACTCTAGTTTGCTAGATTCTGACGTACCCCTGTTGCCTTCTGACGGAGTGAGCTCCTTGTCATAAAGGTATTCACTTAGAGGCTGCAGGGCATCGGGCAGGATTGCTGAGGGGGACAGGCTGGATCAGATGACTGAGAAGGTCCCTTGCAGCACTGAGCTTTCATTATCCTGGGATGCTACAGGTCAGCACTTCAGACTTCACACAAGCATGGCAGCCCACGCTGACCACCACAGATGGAGAGGACTTGGACTGCACCCGGCTGCAGCATCAACTCCCACAGGATTGAAACTTGACTCGGGAGGAAGGATTTTGGTCAAGAGAGGTGAATGTAAAATCAGTTTATCAGTGACACAGGGTGTGATGTGAGCCTAGAGAGAATCTGGTCTAGCTCAGGGACTGAAAAGAAAAAGTGAAAGTGTTAGTTACTCAGTTATATCCGGCTCTTTGAGACCTCATGGACTGTAGCCTGCCAGGCTCCTCTGTCCATGGGATTCTCCAGGCAGGAATACTGGCATGGGTAGCCATTCCCTTCTCCAGGGGATCTTCTTGACCCAGGGATCAAACGCATGTCTCCCTCATTGCAGGCAGATTCTTTACTGTCTGAACCATCAGGGAAGCCCTAGTCCAGGAACTGCTGCTAAGTCACCTCAGTCGTGTCCGACTCTGTGCGACCCCATCCCTGGGATTCTCCAGGCAAGAACACTGGAGTGGGTTGCCATTTCCGTCTCCAATGCATAAAAGTGAAAAGTGAAAGTGAAGTCGCTCAGTCATGTCTGACTCTTCACGTCTGGTAGCCTTTAATTCCCACAGAATGGGTTTGGCGAGAAGTTTCACCCCCTATTGCATGGCTCAGGTAGTGTGGCCATCAGTCAGACTCTCACTGAATCACACCAGACATCTCCATGGGGAACACAGACATGATGGAGACACAGCCTTCTGGAACTGCCTCCACAATGCTGTACTGAGATGCCTTTGGGCAGAGGCAGAAGCCTGGAATAGGAACACAGTGAACAAAATGTAAGGCAAACAGGTCATTTTACCCAATCGAATTTCAGCAGCCAAAAAAAAAAAAAAAAAAAAGCTCATTGGTGCTTAAGAAATGTTTGTAGTTGTTGTTAATAGCATAGAAGAAGCACAGCAGGCAAATACTCTGATCACAGAGGCTTAGGACAGTCCCCCTTGCTGCAGAAAGCAGCCTCTTGGGAGTAAACGTGGCAGCATTTTTTTTTTCAATGGTGGGGCAGCTTTAGAGGAGCCCAGGAAGGAGAGCCAGCTTGGAGTGAGACAGCTGAAAGGAGCTGGGGTGGGGAGGGTCGAAGAAGATGATGGGGATAAACAGATGATGATCTTGCAACCAGGCATCCCTGGAATCTAGTATGTGCGTGTGTGTTAAGTCACTTTAGTTGTGTCCGACTCTTTGTGACCCCATGGACTGCAGCTCACAAGGCTTCCCTGTCCTTCACTATCTCCTGGAGTTTATTCGGACTTACGTCCAGTGAGTCGGTGATGCCATCCAACCATCTCATCCTCTGTCTCCTCCTTTCTCCTTTGGCCTTCAGTCTTTCCCAGCACCAGGGTCTTTTTGCAATGAGTCGGCTCTTTGCATCAGGTGGCCAAAGTGTTGGAGCTTCAGCTTCAGCATCAGTCCTTCCAATGAATATTCAGGGTTGATTTCCTTTAGGATTGACTGGTTTGATCTCCTTGCTGTCCAAGAGACTCTCAAAAGCCTTCTCTAACACCCCACTTATATAAAGTTAAAACAACTTTCTCCCAACTTTATTCACATATCCCTCTGTTTATTTACTTTATAGTACTTAGAGCTTTAATTTTCATATTTAGAAATTTGTTTGCTTATTTAAAAAAAATCTGTCTCTTCCACTAGAGTATAACCTTCATGAAAAGAGATACCTTATCTTTCTTGTATGTCATTGTATCCAAAGCACTCAGAACAGTTTCAGGCATATAGTAGGTGCTCAATAAATATGTGTTGAATGTATGGTCAACTAAAGATAAGCATTATACAGGATTGTAGTTTTTTAGTTGCTAAATTATGTCCAACTCTTTTGTGACCCCATGGACCGTAGCATGCCAGGCTCCTCTGTCCTTAGGATTGTTCCTCCTCTTGTCCCAGGCAATACTGGAGTGGGTTGTCATTTCCTTCTCCAGGAGATCTTCTCAACTCAGGGTTCCAACCTGCGTTTCCTTCGTCCTCTGCACTTCAGGGGGATTCTGTATTGCTGAGGCATCTGAGAAGCCCATTATATAGGGAGGCTTTGTGTCTTTAGGGAGCTAGTTTCGGGTGGTGATCTTAGGCTGCTCCCAGCCCCCAGCCTTTGGTGAAACGACCTAACTGTGTCTTTGCACATGATTGCTAACAGGTTTCAGCCCTGGCTCCTGCTCTGTGCTGTTTGGCAAGTATCTTAACTCTCAGAGCCTTAGTTCACTCATTTCTAAATTTAGGAGTTCGACCTAGATGACTTCTAAGGCCTCTTCAGGCGTTTAAAACTATGATTCTATGATCTCTTAAGCCAATAGAGGCAGGTAACATTTATTGATCTTTGCTGAGCATTTTGGTTATCAGCTTCCATGAATTATCTTAAGATAGAATCCATTATTTTCTAGTAGTTATATAAAATTTGGCTCTGAGGTTTACCTAGATGTGTTTTTATTTTGGTTAGAAAAACAATACTTTTACACATACTGAAGCTTCCTAGGAAATACAGAAATAAATTTTACCATCAAATTCACCTTTGATTTTCATGTTCAAGTTTTTATTCCCATCTCAGTTTTTATTTTTTTTAAATTATTTTTTCTGGATATGATCCAGAAATCTATATGCTTATTTCCTCAGTGAATTCTTAACCAAATGAACGTCAGTATTTGGAAATTAGTACACAGGTTGTTGGAGATTGGAGGGGAACAAAAGGAGGAGGAAAATATATTTGTTTGAGCTTCTACACTATAAGGAACATAAGCTAGATGAGAAATTTACTCCTAGTAATTCATCTAGTCCTCAAAAGTGATTTTTTAAAGATTTATTTTTATTTGGGGGTGTAGTTGTTTTACAATATAGTGTTTATACTATACAGTACAGTGAATCAGCTATGTGTGTGTCTGTGGCTCAGTTGTGTCCGACTCTCTGCGACCCCATGGACTATAGCCCGGCAGGCTCCTCTGTCCATGGACTTCTCCAGGCAAGAATACTGGAGTGGGTTGCCATTCCTTCTCCAAGGGATCTTTCTGACCCAGAGATCGAACTTGGGTTTCCTGCATTCCAGGCAGACTCATTTGAGTGGCTCATTACCATTTGAGCCAGTAGGGAAGTTCAAATCCACTATATGTGTATATATGTCCTCTCCTTTTTGGATTTCCTTCCCATTTAGGTCACCACAGTGCATTGAGTAGAGTTCCCTGTGCTATGCAGTAGGTTTTCATTAGTTATCTATTTAATGCATAGTATCAATAATGTGTATATGTCAATCCCAATCTCCAAGTCATCCCACCCTCCTTTCCCTGCTTGGTGTCCAAAAGTACAAATAAGGTCATCTATACCATTTTTCTAGATTCCATAAACATGCATTAATGTACTGTATTTGTTTTTCTCTTTCTGAGTTCTCTCTGTATGACTGTATCTAGGTCCATCCACGTCTCTGGATGGCACAATTTTGTTCCTTTTTACAGCTGAGTAATATTGCATTGTGTATATGTACCACATCTTCTTTATCCATTCCTGTACCACATCTTCTTTATCCATTCCTCTGTCGATGGACGTCTGGGTTGCTTCCATGTCCTGGCTATTGTAAATAGTGCTGCCGTGAACATTGGGGAGCATGTATCTCTTTTTGAATTGTGGTTTTCTCTGAGTATATGCCAAGGAGTGGGGTTGCTGGGTTATATGGAAGATTTATCCCTAGGTTTTAAGGAATCTCCATAATGGATGTATCAGTTTACATTCCCACCAACAGTGCAAGAGGGTTCCCTTTTCTCCACACCCTCTCCAGCTTTTCTTTGTAGAAGTCTAATAAATGCAATTTAAAGTCAGAACAGTGGCTCACAAAGCAGAAGATAATCAGCTGTAGTTAAGCCATAAGTGTCTTCAATTTTTTCCCACACTAAAGAATACTGAGGGGTGACAAGCTTTAATACCAGGAAGACTTTTTACTTTTTCTGATATTTCACATAGAGCTCCATGGAACACTGCTAACACGTCTTGGGGTCTTCTTGTCTTTGTAAGGGCTGTGGCTTTAGCGCCCCTTCCTTTTCCTCCCAGGGTGACTTTAGGAACAATGTCCAGCAGACATATTCTGTGCCCTAAACAGATAGCTAATGAGAAGCTACTGTATAGCTCAGGGAATTCTGTTCAGTGCTCTCTGGTGATCTAAATAAGAAGGAACTCCAAAAAAGAGAGGATATATGCACTTCTGTTACAGGATGGAAAAAATAAGTGTGTTTCTTACTCCTTCACCAAACAATCACAATAGAAAGAAAGTAGGTTGTTTCCATGTCTTGGCTATTGTAAATAGGCACTTCCCTTTTCTTGGTGAAACTTTTTGTGGTTGGATTCTTTTGGACTCACCCTTTTCAGAGACTGCCTATTGGGGGTCCTTTGTTGTTGTTGTGTGAAAGTTGTGTCTGACCCTTTTGCAACTCCATGGACTGTAGATTGCCAGGCTCCTCTGTCTATGGGATTTTCCAGGCAGGAATAATGGAGTTGGTTGCCATTTCCTTCTCCAAGGAGTTTTCCTGAGCCAGGGATCTAACCCGAATCTCCTGCATTGGCAGGCAGATTCTTTACCACTGAGCCAGCAGGGAAGCCCACTGGGGGTCCTTACTGGGCCTTATGTGTAACCAAGCAATCTTGCCTTTCAGACCACAGCAGAGAAGTCTCCTGGGGCCTACTTCCTTCCTGAGTTTGCACTTTCCCCTCAGGGGAGTTTTCTGGAGGACACAACTGGGGAGCAGTTCCTCACATATCGCTATGACGACCAGGTAAGAACCTCACTGGAGAGCCTATTTTGGGCTCTGCCATTTGCCAGTGGGCAGGAAACAGTTTCTCAAAAATAGCTTCAAAATCTTTCTATTTCCTCCTCGGCACAACTAGTACAATAGACTGGTGACATCAGGAAGGACCCTGAAACCCTGGGCTGCCCACGCTTGCGTGTAGCTTCCTGCACAGTGTGCGGCTCCTGCTCTGGTTGTGGCATTGGCTTGAGAGACACGGTCTCTGATTTTCATCGGAAATATTTCAATATTAAGATAAATATTTAAATTTGTTCATTTTTGCTATTGCCAAATTCATTATGTAATTCTGAAATTATCTAAAAGTTCTGTTTTCTGATTAACCTTTGCTTTCATTGCCCTCTGAGCTCTTATTTAATTTTTTTGACCAGTACCAAAACTTGCCTTTTTCAAGTCCATTTTCCAGAAAGGAAAACAGATGCCTGCTTCTGTGTGAGTGTGCTTGTGTGCACATGGGTGTGTGTTTAAATCACTGCACAAAACCGCACTGGAGAGCAAGACTTGAGCTTGGCTGAGATGCAGAGAGCAAAACTGCACCCTCAGTACTATGACTTCTCATTCTCGATTTACACTGATACCTTCTTGTTGTTGTTTAGTTTCTAAGTCATGTCCGACTCTTTTGTGGCCCCTCAGACTCCTCTGTCCATGGGGATTTCCCAGGCAAGAACGCTGGAGTGGGCTGCCATTTCCTTCTCCAGGGCATCTTTCTGACCCAGGGATTGAACCCACGTCTCCCACATTGGCAGGAGGATCGTTTACCACTGATCCACCTGGGAAGTCATTTTCATAATATAGACCTCAGTTAACGCTTTGGGCCTGTTTGCTAAGAGGGGCTAAACCATCAAGTTACTTTCTGCCCTTTCTCCTGGATGGATTTTTAGAGGATCTGTGATTTGTTGTTGTTCAGTCACTAAATCGTGACTTACTCTTTGCAACCCCATGGACTGCAGCACACCAGGCTTCCCTGTCTTTCACTGTCTCCTGGAGTTTGCTGAAACTTATGTCCATTGAGTCAGTGATGCCATCCAACCATCTCATCCTCTGTCGCCCGCTTTTTCTCCTGCCCTCAATCTTTCCCAGCATCAGGCTCTTTCCCAGTGAGTCAGCTCTTTGTGTCAGGTGGCCAAAGTGTTGGAGCTTCAGCTATGATTTATGTCTCCTTTTAGTTGAGAAATTAATGATTTAATAGGTTTCCTTAGGAAAAGTTCAGAGAAACTACTCGAGGAGCCAGTAAAGGATAGAAGAGGATGTCTGGAAAATCACGAGCTTTGTGTTTTTTAATTAAAGAGTGGTTAATGCCTTCTCCAGCTTCTACAGATAAATTATATTTAATATCATAACAATATAAAAGCTATCTGAAGAGGAAAGTAAGCCCCTTCAGTCTTTCCAAAAAGCCTAAGGCAGACCTTAAAAGCATATGGCATGCGGTGGAAATTCTGTCCTAGGACATAGTGCTCTAGAGGGCCCAGTGGATAGCCTGTGAAAACATTGTGTTGCTCCCACTGTGCTATAACAAGCCAATAATAGCACCTACCCTCTGCTATTAAAGGCAAAAAAAGAGGCATTTGTACCAAACTAGGTGTATCCGTTGAATGAATCTCAAGAATGTAATCAACTAGAGAATTGTTAGCCTATCAGCCCAAGCCCTGGATCCTTTTTCCTCTTCATGCTGAGTGTGCAAACTACACTGTAATATCAGAGAAAAGTTAGATAAAATATTCCTCACTTTGAAAACTTCCCCCTTCCTGCAACATACTATCAAATGTGACGAAAAGTTAAGAACATAGACTCAGGAGCCAGACTGCTTTGGGTTTGAATTTCAGTTCTGATATTTTACTTGCTGTGTGACTTTGGACAAGTTACTTCACTTCTGTGTGTCTTAGTTTTGTCATCTGTGAGATATATGATGGTATTGATCAACCTCACGGAAATGTTTTAAGAATCAAAGGAGATAATTCAGGTAATTCCTATGTCTGCCTGCACAGGTTCTGATGCATAAAAGTACTTCATGTAATGCTATTGTTATTGCTAGTAATATTATTTGCAAAGATTCAATTTGGAGAATCTCAGATACTCTTATGGAAAAGAAAAGGAAGAAGCATACTCTCCATTCATATCAAGGGTCTGCACACAATATGTTAAATTCATTGTTTATTAAAGTATAACATAATTATAGTAAATGACACCCATATCTGAAGTATAGAAGTTGACCAGTTTTTAAATATCTTTATGCCTGTGTAGCTACCACCCAGATCCAGCAATCAAACATTCCCCCAGCCTAGGAAGCTCCATGGACCCCTTCTGGTCAATATTTCTCATCCAGGAAGTAATCACTAGTCTGACTTCTATCACTGTTATAGATTCATTTTGATTTTTATTTTATTTTTTCTGTTCTTTTTTTTTAAATTGGGATATAATTGCCTTACAATGTTGTGTTAGTTTGTGCTGTCCAGTGAAGTGAATCAGTTACACGTACACATGTGCCTGCAGACTCAGCTGTTTCAGACGTGTCCGACTCTTTGCGACCCCATGGACTGTAGCCCACCAGACTCCTCTGTCCATGGCATTCTCTAGGCAAGAATACTGGAGTGGGTTGCCAAGTCCTCCTCCGGGGGATCTTCCCGACCCAGGGACTGAACCTGAGTCTCCTGCGTCTCCTGCACTGCAGGTGGATTCTTGACTGCTGGGCCACCAGGCCACCACTGGGCTACATATACGTATACTCCCTCTTTTTTGGATTTCCTTCCCATTTAGGTCACTACAGAGCACTGAGTACAGTTCCCTGTGCTAAACAGTAGGTTCTCATTAATTATCTATTTTATATGTAGTATCAATAGTATATGTATGTTAAGCACAATCTACCAATTTATTTCACACTCTTTTCCCACTTGATGTCCATTTGTTTGTTCTCCATGTCGCTGTCTCTATTCTTGCCCTGCAAAGAGGTTTATCTGTACCATTTTTCTAGATATACATGTTAATATACAATATTTGTCTTTCTCTTTCTGACTTAGAACTTCACTCTGTATGACAGACTCTAGGTCCGTCCACGTCTCCGCAAATAACCGAGTTTTGATGGGATCATACAGCACATACTCATCTGTGTTCAACTTCTTTCCCACATTATGATATCTAGAGATTCAACCAGGTTGCTGGATCCAATGTGGTTCAGGTTTTAATGTCTGTACCTTGTGCTATCTGCAACCAACTGTCTCATCTCGGAGCAGGTGGCAGCATATTGCGTGGCAGGCAGCATCGCTCCTACACAGAAATCCCCAGGTTGTCTCTCAGAGGTTTTCAGGGCAGCCACCCCACTGTCCCAGCAGCCTGAAGCCAGAGTGACAAAGTGCTTATGCTGTGGAGGCTGCTGTCTGGTTCCTGAAGTTGTGGGTCAGGACTGGGTTCACTAGGAACTTCCGCCTATCGAATACTCGTTTGATAAAATGGGAAGGAGGCAGACAGTGTGTAGATACTTGCTGTCTTCGATGACCCTGTAGGACTTTTTAAAGTACTCGATTCTGGTGTATTTTCATGATGACCTTCAGGCCACTCTTCCAATGTCCCCTGGATTAGATGTCTGGAAAACTAAGAGCCCCGAGGCCAGTAAAGCCCAGCTGTGATGTAGGCTGTGTTTAATGAATCACATAAAAAGCGCACTATGGGTTATAAGGGAACTGGGGCAGCTTCTAGTGAAGTGTGCCATCCTGAGGCCAACTGGTAGCCATGCATTTTGGTGCAGGCAGGACTGGTCAGGCAGCCTTTGTCTTGCTTCTGCCACTAATTGGCTTGTAATTTAACAAAGTCATTCAGCATCTTTGGACCTCAGAGTCCTCATTTTTTTAAAAAAGAAATATTTTTGGCTGTGCTGGGTATTTGTTTCTGTGCGGGCTCTTCTTTAGTTGCCATGAGCAGGGGCTGCTCTCTGGTTGCGGTGCACAGGCTTCTTACTCTGGTGGTTCTTGTTGCAGAGCCCTGGGCTCTAGGGCTCTGGCTCAGCAGTTATGGCGCACGGGCTTACTTGCCCCATGGCATGTGGGATCTTCCCAAACCAGGGATGGAACCCATGTCTCCTGCATTGGCAGGCGGATTCTTTACTACTGAGCCACCAGGGAAGCCCCCTCATTTGTTTTGGAAAACAGTGACTGTGTTTCATGTTCCAGACTCCTTCCTGTCCTATATAGTCTACTTTTCGAAACTACAGACATATTCTACATTGCAGAGTGTTAATTGGATCATGCTGATGATCAAGGCAGTCATGCCAGTGATGCAGTAAACTATTAGTTAGAGAATCATAGAATTTTATAGCTGGTGAGACTTTTCTCAACTGCCGCATTTCAGGAGTCAAGGAAATAGACACTCTGAACGTGCAAATGACTTAACTCAAGGACACCCAGATGGTTATGTGAAAAAAACTGAAACCTATATTCTAAACTTTAGGCTCTCCCACTCTGAGATATGCCCCACTGCTTCTCTTGGAAGAATCATGTCAAAAATTATCTCTTTTCCTAAAAATCCCAATTCCACTGTTACAGTGGGCTTCCTTGGTGGCTCAATCAGTAAAGAATTCACCTGCAACGCAGAAGACCTGAGTTTGATCCCTGGGTTGGGAAGATCCCCTGGAGAAGAAAATGACAACCTACTCCAGTATTCTTGCCTGGGAAATCCCATGGACAGAGGAGCCTGGTGGCCTACAGTCCATGGAGTTGTAAGAGTCAGACACCACTTAGCAGCTAAACCACCACCGCTATTACAGTGAATAGGCCTTTGGAGACCTTAGCAGATCTAAGGGAATAATTTCATATTCATGAGCTGCTTCATGAGCTCATTCTTAACTCCTTGAGAATTTGGAATTGACTATTTGTTGTTCAGTTGCTAAGTCGTGTCTGACTCTTTGTAACCTCATGGACTGCAGCACGTCAGGCTTCCCTGTCCTTCACTGTCTCCTGCAGTTTGCTCAGACTCATGTCCAT